AGGGAGAAAGGCTTTTGATTAAATCAAGCACAACTTTTTGATAAAACCCTTGAACATCTAGGTGAGAAAGCCCACAGACCGGGAAAATATATTTGCTAACTGCATATCTGACAAAACCCTAAAATCTAGGATCTACAAGGAACTCAAATGTGCCGGGGTGGGGGGACAGCCCCATTACAAAGTGGATAAAAGATATGAATAGACACTTCTCAAAAGACAAATGAGCGGCCAACAAATACATGAAAATATGCTCAGCCTCACTAGTTATCAAAGAAATGCAACTCAAAACCACACTGCCAGGGGAGGGGGGGCACACATCATCAAGGGTACCTGCATAATGTATACCTAACCCTGAATCGTACCTCACATATTTAAAGTAAAAAATTTTTTTAAAAAGAAAGGATGAACTGCTTTTTTTCTGCATTCAGCCTTGCATGTTTGCTCCCATGAAATTGTGTGTGGCCACAGCTCAACTTCATTCACAGGCAGACAGACATTTGCTTGGGGTGGGCTCCTGGCATGGTCTTATTATCAGCTGCACAACAAGAAACCATAAAACATGTTTTGTCTTGATGATATTGTAGTATAAACTTTGCACTTATTCTAAGTTAAGGATACTTCTTTTTACTTCTATATTTATGATAAAGTATATTAATCCAGGGTTAGATATTGTATGTATTTCAAATTTTAAATAAAATTTCAAGCTACTTCAAAAAAAAAAGACAAAGGGAAGAGGGGACGGGATTGGGATAGATCATGGCTTTTTTGGCACATGGTAAGCTGAGATGCTTACACAGTGACACTTAAGTAGACAACAGATAGTTTGATATGAGGGAAATCACTGGAGAGTTCCACTTCTGGTAATGGCAGGATAGTGCATCTGTACCAACACTACTGATAAGAATAACAAGAAAAACTACTAGAAGAAAACATAAGGAAATGCTTCAAGACCTTTGTCTAGAAAAATATTTAATTAACAAGACCTCAAAAGAATACACAACGAAAGAAAAACCTAAACAAATGGAATTGTATCAAACAAAAAAACACCTGCTCGATAAAGGCAATAACAATGTGGAAAGATAATATATAGAATGGAAGAAAATATATATTTGCAAACTACTTATCCAATAGGGGATTAATATCCAGAATATACAAGGACTCTAACATCTCAATAGCGAAAACAATCCAATTAAAAATGGGTAAATAATCTGAACAGACACTTCTTAAAAGAAAATAGACAGTCAACAAATATATGAAAAAAACGCTTGACACCACTAATCATCAAGGAAATACAAATCAAAACCATAATGAGATATCATCTCACCCCAGTCAGAATGGCAAATCCAGCAACATATCATAAAGATAATATGACAAGGTCAAATGGGATGTATCCCAGGAAGGCAAGGACAGATAAACATATGTAAATCAATAACCATGATAGATCACACCAAGAGAATCAAGGACAAAAACCATATGATCATCTCAATACAAGCAGACTGTTTATCAAAAAGATAAACAATAACATGCTGGTGAGGATGCAGAGAAAGGGAAACACTCTTACACTGTTGAGAATGTAAAGCCATGATAGAAAACAGTATGATGGGTCCTCAAAAAACTGAAAATAGAGCTTCCATATGATGCAACACTCTCACTGCTGTGTATGTATACAAAGGAGAGGAAATTAGATTATCAAAGGGATATCCGCATTCCCATGTTTACTGCAGCACTAGTCATTATAACCAAGGCATGAAATCAACCTAAGCGTTCAGCAATGGATGAACGGATACAGAAAATGTGGTATATATACACAAAGGAAAATTATTCCACCATGAAAAAGAATGAAATTGGCCAGGAGTGGTGGCACATGTCTATAATCTCAGCACTATGGGAGGCTGAGGTGGGAGTATCACTTGAGCTCAGAAGTTCAAGACTAAGCTGGGCAACATAGCAAGACCTCATCTCTACAAAAAATAAAAAATAAGCCAGGAGTTCAAGACTAACCTGGGCAACATAGCAAGACTTCATCTCTACAAAAAATAAAAAATAAGCCAGGCATGGGAGTTCCAGCTACTCACGAAGCTGAACAAGAAGGATCGCCTGAGCTCAGGAGATTGAAGCTGCTGCAGTGAGCCATGATCATGCCACCATTGTACTCCAGCCTGGGTGACAGAATGAAACTCTGACCAAAAAAAAGAGGAGGAGGAGGAGGAGTGGTGGTGGTGAAGGGGGTGGTGGTTGGGGGATGGCAGCTGTGGAGGGAGGAGGAGGAAATCCTGCCACTTGCATCAACATGGATGGAACTGGAGGTCATTGTGCTAATTGAAATAAGCCAGGCACAGAGACAAATACTGCCTGTTCTCACTTATATGTGCGAACTAAAAAAGTGAATCTCATGCAGGTAGAGGTAGAATGGTAGTTACTGGGGGCTGGGAAGAAAAGAGATATGAGGAATAAAGAGAAGTCGGTTAAGATATTTAAAAAGACAGATAAGAGGAATAAGTTCTAGTATTCAATAGTATAGTAGGGAAATTATAGTTAGCAACAATGTACTGTGTATTTTAAAACAGGGCCACCTATTTTACATAGTGGCTCACACTTGTAATCTCTGCACTTTGGGAGGACAAGGTGGGAGAGTTGCTTGAAGCCAGGAGTTCAAGACTATCCTTGGCAACATATCGAGACCTCCATGTCTACAATAAAAGACAAAAAATAAAGCAGCCTGGTGTGGTGGCATGCATCTGTAGTCCCAGTCACTTGGAGGGCTGAGACTGCAGTGAGCTATGATCATATCACTGTACTACAGTCTGGGTAGAGTGAAGCCCCAGTCTCTACCAATAATAATAATAATAATAATACATAAAAATAAAATAGCTAGAAAAAAATTGTTCCCAACACAAAGAAACATCTGAGGTGATGGATATCCCAGTTACCTTGAGTTGGCCATTACACATTTATACAAGTATCAAAATATTACATGTACCCCCCCAACTAGGTAAAATAATTATGTACCAATTTTTAAAACTTTAAAGAATAAATACTGTATTATTCCATTTATAAAACTAATCATTTATAAAAAGTGACAGAAGTCTTACACTGATAATATAAATAACTCCTTCAGTCCATTATTCTATGTTAACTATCAAAAACAAAAAACTGAATACTGCATGCTTTCACTCATAAGTGGGGTCTAAACATTGGGCACGTGAGCACAAAGACAAGAACAACTGGTGCTGGGCACTGCTAAAGGGGGGAGGGAGGGGAAGGGGCTAAGGGGTGCATAACTCCCCACTGGGTGCCATGTCCACTACCAGGGGAGAGAGGGCTCACTAGATGCCCAAACCTCACTTGCACACAATCTACTTATGTAGCAAATCCTGACATGTACCCCACAATGTTAAAATAAAAAATTTTTTAATAAATTAATTTTTAAAATAAAATGTTCTGCTCTTTAAATAACTCCTTCAAATCAATAGAAAAAATATAGATAATCCAATCGGAAAACAGCAAGATATTTGATCACATACATCAAAAAAGAGAGTATCTAATTGGCCAATAAATGTGCAAGAAGGTGCTCAGCTTCATTAATCGCCACAGAATTGCAGAGTTAGTAGGGTGTCACTGCACCCCACCATAAGGGCTAAAGTTAAAAGAAACAAACAAGTATCAGATGAGGACATGCACCAACTGAAACTCTTACACACCATTTGAAGAAATATAGATCAGCATAACTACTTTGGAAAACTGTTTGATACTGGCTACTGAATACAGTTGTCCCTATGTGTATGCAGGGGACTGGTTCCAGGGTCCCTGCATGTATCAAAATCCATGCACACTCATGTCTTGCAGGTGGCCCTGCAGAACCCACATATGTGAAAAGGCAGCCCTCTAAATACACAGATTCCACATCCCTTCACAAGAATACTATATTTTTAATCTGCATTTGGTTGGAAAAAAAATCATGTATAAGTGGACCCATGCAGTTCAAATCTATGTTGCTCAAGGGTTAACTATATATGCATCCCCTGTAACTCAGCAATTGTACATGTGTGCACCAGAAGACATATAAAGGACTGTAACAGCCAAGCCAGGCATGGTGGCTCATGCCTGTAACCCCAGCACTTTGGGAGGCATAGACAGATTGATTGAGTCCAGGGGTTAAAGATCAGCCTGGACAATGTGGCAAGACCACATATCTATAATAAATTAAAAAAAGAAAATTAGTCAGGCATGGTGGCACACACCTGTGGTTCCAGATACTTGGAAGGCCAAGGCGGAAGAATCACCTGAGCCCAGCAGGTTGAGGCTGTGGTGGCCATGAGCATGCCACTGCACTCCAGCCTGGGCAACTGTGAGATTCCTTAAAAAAAAAAAAAAAGATCACAACAGCCAAAAAATGGATACACAATAAGTCAATCAACAGAAGAATGAATAAAGTGTAACATATTCACAACATGGATAATTCTCATCAAAATAATGGTTAATCAAAGAAACCACCACAAAAGAATGCATAACATATGATCCCATTATATAAAGTTCAAACATAAGGAAAACTAACCTATAACATTAGATGTCAAGATAGTGTTATCTTTATGGAAGAGAAAGAGGCATTGACTTAGAGTAAACATGACCTGGGTGACAGTTACCCAGTGTGTTCACTTAGTCATAATCATTACAACATGCACCTCATATGTGGAACACTTTTTTTCTAAGTATTTTATACTTTATCAAAAAAGTGAGAAAGGTCAAGCTGGAGATGTGAATGTAGGAGTTGCAATTATGTCAAGATGAGCCTTTTCTTGATCATGTTCTTATTGAAAAAAACTTGAATTAATTCTAAAAATAAAAAAAAAAACTTAATATGATGTTTTTATGTTATCAACATTTTTCTACCACAGTTGATAGCTGAACCCACAGAGGGTAATGCTGCTCAAACTGCATCAGAGAAATGCACAGATGAGGGCCAGGCCTTTGTGACGCTGGACACAGAACTTGTTAAGTACCTGATGAGAAGGATCCTTGGCACTCCATAGGCAAAGTTTATTCCCATCTAAAGGGAAAGCACAGTACTGCTCACTGCAAGCAAGTTGAACATGAGATGCGGACTCCTTGGATTCAATCAGGTATTTTTCCATAACTATATCACTTGCACCACCACCAATAGTTGAGAAAATCTCTTGGGGTTCTTCCATTTTCAATCTGAAAACACAAAGTACATACAAGATGACTAGGATATTTATTATAAATAAATGTCTATTATTTATTCATAATTACTAGTATGATCACACACATACACGAAATCATACCTACTTATTTACCTCTCCCCACCCCAAGGAAAAGGAAAACAGAAGTCACTGAAAACTAAGGTTTTCAGATCTCGCTTATACTTGCTGAGTCTGCTTCCACAATTGTAAAATGAGAGACATGACCTCACAGAGATAAAGATCAAATAATGACCCAAAAGGTGTGGGTGCAGCTTTAGTACTGAATGCTCAAGAAGTGGTTACTGAAACCAATTACTATTTTCAATGGCTAAGACACAAAATTATTTTCTAAATTGACGACAGCCAATTAGTTGGTGATAAATTGCAATAAACCCAGATCTCCTATAGCTAACCTGGGATTTATTCATCTATTTTACAGTATTCCATGTCATTTAATCAGTAATCAGTAATTCACTGGCTATGTCTTATAAGGCATCTTTCTATTAAAGAAATTGACAAAATAAAAAAGTCCAGATCTTCATCCCACTTCACATGTAGCAACTTTATAAACGTGATCACTTCAGATACATGTGAGAATTGTCATGGAGTCATCCTTGATTCCGCTCTGTCCACACCCAGCTGCAGGCAGTAGATCCACATGAAGGCAGAGCCAATGCACCTTCTGACAACATGGGCAAAGGCCTAACCATCCAGTTGCTATGAAGCTGTGTAGACTCAAGGGACTCCCCTAGCTGGTGATCATGAATTTGAAGGCCCATCCATGCTGATCATGCAGATTCAAAGGTCCATGTATCTGGTTACCACGCTAGAATGCGAATTCAAAGGCCCACATAACTAGCACCAAACTGGTTGTGTGGATTCCCAGGCCCACCCATCTGGTCATCTTGCTGGTCATGTGGATTCAACGGACCCACCCATCCGTTCATCTTAGTGATCACGTGGCTTCACAGGTTCATCGGCGTAGTCATCTTGGAGATCATGTGAATCTGTGGATTCACAGGTCCACCCATCTGATAATCTGGGTGGTCATGGGTATTCACAGGCCCATCCATCTAGTCATCCTGGTAGTCATGTGGATCCACAGGCTCACCCATCTGGTTACCTGGGTGGTTCATGTGGATTCAAAGGACCCACCCATCTACTCATCTTGGTGGTGACATGAATTTACAGCCCACCTATCTGGCCCTCGTGCTGGTTATGTGGATTCAGAGGACCCACCCATCTGGTCATCTTGGTGGCCATGTGGATTCACAGGCCCATCAATCTATTTATCTTGGTGGCCATGTGGATTCACAGGCCCATCAATCATTTATATTGGTGGTCATGAGGATTCAAAGGACCCACCCATCTGGTCATCTTAGTGGTCATGTGAATTCAAAGGACCCACCAATCTAGTCTTCTTGGTGGTCATGTGGATTAAAAGGACCCACCTACCTAGTCCTCATGCTGGTCATGTGCATTCACAGGCCCATCCATCTGGTCTTTATGCTGGTCATATGGGTTCACAGACCCACCCATCGTGCCCTTATGCTGCTCATATGGATTCAAAGGGCCACCCATCTTGTCCTTATGCTGGTTATGTGGAATCACAGGCCCATCCACCTGGTTCTCATGCTGGTCATGTGGATGGATTCACAGGTCTACTTATCTGGGTGTCACATTGGCCAGCAGCAGTGGGTATAACTCAATGTGTCTGTCTATCAAGACTTGGAGAGTCTCAGAATTTCAGGGCAGAAAGTTGATGCCCTCAGTCCATGCAGAGCAGCAGAGACCGCCCCGCTGTCCCTTCATATCTGCATTACTGCTCACAGCTCCCACTGCACATCCATACATTGAACTGATTACTTGAAAACTGTCAGCTGGGCTCGGTGGCTCAGCCTATAATCCCGCAGCTTGGGAGGCTGAGGTGAGTGGATTACCTGAGCCCACAGGTTTGAGACCTGCCTGGGCAACTTGGCGAGACCTCATCTCTACAATAAATCAAAAATCAGCCGGGTGTGGTAGTGCGTGCCTATAATTCCAGCTACTCGGAAGGCTGAGGCAGAAGGATCGCTGGAGCCCAGTAGTCGAGGCTGCGGTGGCCAGGAGCGGCCACTGCACTCCAGTCTGGGCAACAGAGTGAGACTCCAACTCAAAAAAAAAAGAAAACTGTCTGTTTCTTCAACAGGATGGAGGCAGGTCTCTGCCATCATAATTCAATGTTTTCAGTGCTTAGAAGAATGTCTGGCCCATAGTAGACACTCAGTAAATATTTGCTATGTGGATATGAGTGTTATGAAGAAAATAAGGCGATGGAGTAGAGAGTAATGAGAGATGAAAGGGCGTGCTTCAGCTAGGTGAACTGCTGAGGAAGTAAGGTTGCAGCTGAGATTCAAGAATGTAAGGGAAAAGCATCCCAGCTGGAAAGTAAAACAGCACACACGCAGAGAGGGAACAGACCTGGTGTGACCCACAGGAAAAGAGGACATCAAAGAGCAGTAAGTGAGGAGAACACAGCATGTGTGGGGGGTTGGGAGGGGTGGCAGTTCTAAACAGCGGCCAGGGCCAGGGTATGCAGCACCTGTTGGCTGTGGTCACAGATGTGCATGCAAGTGTGAGTATGTTAAAATACGAAGGGGACCCCCCCAAAAAACCCTGGAATTCATTTATAAAAGACTGTGTATTTATTCTTACATATTTAAACTTCAGTCACCTTCCAAGTCTTCTCTATTTGATGCAATACACCTATCGAGACACTTTTTCCACCACTCAAAACAGTTTCTGAACTTGTCAATTCCGATGTCTTTTAGTGCTTCTGTCGTTTTTTGTTTCACCTCTTCCACATGGGCAAAATGTCTCCCTTTCAGGACAGTTTTCATCCAGGGAAACAAAAAAAGTCTCTCAGGGAAAGATAGGATGAATAGGGAGGGTGGGGCACAGGGGTCATGCTTGTTTGGGTAGATAACTGCTGAACGCTCAGCACAGTGTAGGCAAGTGTGCTCGTAAAACACCCATCATGAAATGGGAAAACACACTGAGAGAATCTCCAAAAGAAAATTTCACTGAAGCCCATTGTAGCCTCTCACAACAACACTAGCTGGTACAGTGATGCCTATGGGTTTTTAGAACACGTACTTAGTGGGGGAAGCCTGTACTACAAGGGACTTGTTCTCCAAAAAATAACTCTGGGTCTTTTTGAGTCCCCCTCATATATTCTGAACTGCTGGAGTCATAAATCAAGCATTAGCAGGACCCAGTAAGACTGCTCAGATTGTTCAGGCTGCCACACAGGCACTTGGATGGTTTCCTATTGCTGCTATTGAGAACCTGAGCATTGGTGCTGTGATCCAAGATCAGGGTTATACCAGTGGAGATAGTAGGTTATTTTGAAGCTAGGACTGATGGGAATTGCTATGGACTGGTTGCTGAAGACTAGTTAGTGGAATTGAGGATGTCTCTGAGCATTTTGGCCTGAGGAACCAGAGATGCCATTTACTGAGGTAGGGAGGAACAGGTTTGGCAAAGGGGAAATCATAAATTGTTTTGAGTATATTACATCAAATGCTGAACCTTTAGTTCTGGCTTTTCCTAGCCTTTGAACCACAATTTCTTTCAAGTAATCTGGAAGAAAAAGACATTTCTCTTCTAACCCACGATGTGTAAATTCTAGAGGTTAACACTCAGAAAGTCATCTTGTTTCTCTAATTTCTAAGTTATTATAGAGAACCTCAGTTTTCCCTCTGCACTGATTACACACAATAGTGTCCATGAGCTAAGTAGGGAGGTGCAGAATCTAAATATCTGAGCGTACCGGTCAGGAAATCATACCATTCTGAAGGCAAAGTGCTCCACGGGCTCAGAAAAGGGGGTCACAGCAGAAGGCACCTGGTCACCTGAGCAGCTGCAGAGTAAAGGGGGACTGGGAACAGTGGGTGATACTGTAGTGTAAATAAGAAGGAAATGTTTACTGCACTAAGCCACCAGAAGGTGTCTTCTGTCAGCACTCCTCCACTGACACTGTAGGACATGGCTTAGTGACCCAGTGATGGGGCTGAAAGCTCAAAATTCATGTTATGTACTGACAAAATATTAAGTTAAACTCTATCTGGTAATAACATAGAAGACTGGTCACATGTAGCCCCATGGAAAGTGACTAAACATAATAATAAAACTGGCTTAGAAAAGTACCTGGTGTGCAAGCAGAAATGAACAGAAACAGCAAGTGTGCAGGAACGCAGGGGTCACAGGGCCAGGAAGTCCGAGTGCCCAACAAGCAGAAGTGAGGAACCAAGAGCCAACGGGACTCAGCCTTTCAGCCAAGACCACACCAAAGATGGCTGCCTTCCCACTCAAACTTTTAGTTTCATACAACCTCAGGGCATCAGCCATCCAGGAGAGCAAGCACACAGCAAGAAAGCAATCAGTCTTGACCAGGAGACACAGGAAGGATGAGGTGACATCCCTGGCACACTGAGCTGACAAGACATACACAGACCGGAGGACACTCTGCTCATGAGGGATCAATGGAGCCAGAGAAACACAGAGCAAAGGACAGAACACGGTGACAGGACCACACTATCACCTTTGGGTCCCCATCAGGGCTCCAGGAGCGGACTATGGCAGCACTAGCACTCCAAGACAGTGTCCTCATGCCATGTCAGCTGAGGTCATGGTGAGAACAGGACCAAGAGAAGGACAAAGGGCTTCAAAAAACAGTGGACAAGGGAACTCCTTCCAGACAGCAGAATCAGGGTCCAATGGAGAATTCCTCCTACCTCCACTCCCAGTAAGATTGCAAGTCTCCTCTTCTGGAGACAGATTCTGTTATAGTAACCCTAGTCATTTACCACTGCATTTTAGTAGATAGAGCCTACAGCAGCCTGCCTTCTCAGTCCATGGGTCTCTGGACCATGAGGAACCACAGCCAGGCCTGATGGAAAGGACTGTGCAACCCTGGGAGATGCTCCACGCCACTAGGACGCCCTGAGCAGCGTGCCCCTTGGGAGGCAGTGAATCTGTTCTCCATGTGGGGTCAAGAGTGCAGCAGGGCCGGGCATGGTGGCTCAAGTCCATAATCCCAGCACTTTAGGAGGCAGAGGCGCGAGGACTGCCTGAGCTCAAGGGTTCAAGACCAGCCTGGGCAACTTGGTGAGACCTCATCTCTTACAATAAATAAATAAATAAAAATTAGCCAGACATGATGGCGCACGTCTGTGGTTCCAGCTACTTGGAAGGCTAAGGCAGAAGGATCACCTGAGTCCAGCAGGTTGAAGCTGTGGTGGCCGTGAGCGTGCCACTGCACTCCAGTCTGGGTGACAGAGTGAGACTCCAACTCAAAAAAAAAAAAAAAGTGTGCAGCAGACAATCACCAAAAGAGAGACAATGGTGAATGCTGCTCATCTTTCATCAAACCATTTCCCTTTCCTTCTAGACACAGAACCCCATTCCCCAGAGTCCCTTGAAATCACATGCAACCATGTGTCTGAACTCTGGCCAGGGCTGCAGGAACAAGTAGGTGGTGGTATGTGGGCACAAGCAACACCCGCCCCTTCCAAGCCTGACTTGGAAGCCCTCCTACACTGACTCTTTTCTACTTCTTCACTGACTGGTTAAACATAAAGGACTCAGATGGCCTACAGAAGATGGCACCACAAGATGGAAGATGCCCCTGAGGTGGCAGCCTGCAGAGAGCTGCCTAAAGCAATGCTCTGACCAGAGACCACAACACAGGACCTGTGAGCAAGAAATAAGCAATTGTGGTCAAGCGCGGTGGTTCACAGCTCATGCCTGTAATCCTAGCACTTTGGGAGGCAGAAGAGAGAGGATCTCTTGAGCACAGGAGTTGGAGGCTATGATGAGCTATGATCATGCCACTGCACTCCAGCCTGGGCAACACAGTGAGACCCTGACTCAAAAAAGAAAACAAAAGAAAGAAATATGCAATTGTTCTATTGGTGTGGTTTGTGACACTACTTAACCTACTCGCACTAATATAAATTGCGTATCTTTTTAAAAATTATAAAAGTAATACAGTGTAAAATAAACAAAGCAAGAATGTGTGTTCACAAGAGGACCAGGAGAACAATATTAATGCAGAAATAATACAGTGTTCTATCCCTACCTCCTCTCCCCACTGTCATCCCTAGGGACTAACCAATGCCAAGGCCATCCCCAGAGACAGCCTATGTGTGCACATGCATGGCAGTCAGGCTGGGAGGGTCAATTTGCTTCCTTTAGTGAGAGACTGCTGTCTGTAAGATTAGGTAAGCACTTCAAGAAAACGTAGCGACAGGTGCTGCTAAAGAACTTCTGTTGTAAAGATGGGACAATAAACACAAAGCAGTCATCCCAGACAAACCAGGAGCTACACGTAATGCCCTTTCATTGGTACAGAAGCAGTGTTACACTGTGAAAAACCTGAGAAGACATTAAAAGATGGATGCATTCTGCCCTACTCAAGAGGCACCATTGCTGAAGCCACATGCGTCGCGGCCTGCTGACCCCTTTGCACAGACGCAGATGTCTAGTCCCTTCTCTTTCCGTGGCCGGCCAGCCAACCACAAGCAGGCCGTTTCACTCTGCATTGGGAAAACGAAGCGCGGGGGGGCCGAGCACGTGCGCCCCCACGGCAAGAAGCAGACGGCGCCCAGCTGCGAAGGCAGAGGACCCAGCAGTAGGCTCGCTCCTGCCTGGGGACCCCGCGCGGCGGCCTCAGCGCACGGCAAGGCCTCTCAGGTCCGCCGACAGCTCTCAGCGCTCGGCCCGCCGTGGCCGTGAGTCTCCGGGTCTCGCAGTCCGTGGACGCCACAGGCCCGAGGTGGAAGGGTGGGACCGGGAGGGTGGAGCCTCGCGGGACCTAAGCCGGGTGAAAGGGGCCGGGAGCGCCCGCCCCGCCCTGGAAGGACGGGTTGGGGGGGAACGCGTCCGCATCCGAGCATGGAGCCCTCCACCTGGCCTCCGCCTCCAGCGCCACCAAGCACTCACCCACCACACCCGCGAAGCCCCGTCCTTCCCTAAGACTCAAGGCAGATTCCGACGCTCCCCTGGTTGCCTCGGCCCTTGCGACCGCCCACTCCTACCAGGGAGCAAACGGGCGTCACCGCCACCACCGGCAGGACAACGCCGCCGCCTCCTCGCGCAGCGACCCCACGAAAGCGAGATGCCCAGAAAACGCCCAGGCCTACCTGCCGCGCGCGCCCGCGGCTGCGGGGTAACGGCCCTCTCACTCCACGTGCCCCGCCGGGTGGCGCTCCCTCCATTTCCACGCGCCCTGCAAGGTGACGCCCCCCACTTTCACGCGCCCCGCCGGATGACGCCCCCCTCCACTTCCATGCGCTTCGGAGGTGACGTATCCCTCACTCCACGCGCTCCGCCAGATGACGTCCCCACCACTTCCTCGCGCCTCGGGGGTAATAACGGCCCCGTCACTCCACTCACCTCTCCAGATGATGCTCCTCCCACTTCCAAGCGCCCCGCTGCTGGTGGCCCCCTCACCCCCACACCGCGCCCCCCGGTCCATCCACCCATGGCAGAGTCGGGACGCGGAGTCCCAGTGGGAAACGCGACCTGAAGGGCGGGAAGTGCCCATCCCGGGGCTCGTGCTGACAGCCGCAGGCGCATGCCCACACCATGCTCCGGATCTGCCGCAACCTCGTGGAAACACGCCCGGCGGTGAGACATCCAGAGCGGTCTCGGGAACACACGCGAGCAAAAGCCGACAGCTGCCCCGCGCGCCCCTCACCTGCGGGTCCAGAGTGACGCCGGCGCAGGCTCCCTGAGTCGCTATGGTTACAAG